GGATGTCTAGCAGTTGAGGGACAAAAATAGAATTCCAAAGCAGGTGAAACAATTGCATTCAAAAACCATTTCAAGAAACTTAGGCTCCATTCGTAATCTATGCCGACTTTGAATGTTTGACCGTGCCCACTGATGTTAAAAGCAGATCTGCAAAAGCGAAAACAAGCTCGTATCAGAATCACCGTCCGTGTGGTTTTATGATTTTTGCGGTCAATGCCATAACTGGAAGCAGTGAACCTTACTTTTACAGAGGTGAAGATTGCATGGACAATCTCATTGACAAAACAATAAAGTTAGAGAGGATGTCTTAGAGAAAATGAAGCAGGAAAAAGACTGTATTGAAACTGAGAAGGACTGGGAGGACTTCAATAGTGCCACCAAGTGTTTCATTTGTGGAAACAAATTTGAGGAAGGGGAAAAGAGATGCTGGGACCGCTGCCAGTTCAAAGGTAAATATAGAGGTTGTGCTCACGAAGCGTGTCATCTACGATTTAGTACGAGAGATCATAAATCCCGGTGTTTCTTCATAACCTTAAAACTACGATGCTCGCCTAACCATTAACAAGGCACACAAACTGAACAAGAAGACTGAAATAGAATGTGTCGCTCAGAACAGCGAGAAGTTCATCACCTTCGGGTTTCAAAATCTTTGCTTCAAACACAGTTTCAGGTTCTTATCATCTTCTTTGGATAAAACTAGTTAAATTGCGAAAATTCGGGAGTGCTTCAGACACGACCAAAGCACTCGCTTCGCGAAGTCATAAAATGCGTGAGAATTAGAACAACTTCAGATACAGCGTTAGAACCCATGTTAAAACCGATGAAGATTTGGATTTATTGACCGATAAGGGTATTTATCCCTACGACTACTTTGATGACCTTGAAAGGTTACTACCACCTAAAGAAGCGCTTTGTAGTAAATTGAATGAAGCAAATGTCAGTGATAAAGACTACGAGCGAGCCTTGAAGGCCTGGAAGCACTTCGGCATCAGGACGCTTGCGCGGTATCACGACCTTTACTTACGCACGGACGCATTCTTACTGACCGATGTGATTGAAAACTTTAGGGACTTGTGTGTGGAATACTACGGTTTAGACCCCGCTTCCTAATTTCGCGTTTGATGCGATGCTTTTAAAAACTGGGGTTGAAATAGAACAATTGCACGACCAAGACATGTATGAAATGATTGAGAAAGGTATGCGAGGTGGAGTGTGTCAAGTTAGTCAAAAATTAGCAGTGAGTTGCGAATAACAAGTATATGGATGCAACATACGACCGTTCAAAACCGAATATTCGTATAAACTACTTAGATGCGAATAATTGGTATGGTCTAGCAATGTCTCAAAAATTGCCTTTAAAGAATATCAAAGCAAAGTCCCTGGTATTGAAAATTGGGACGAGCGAGACGAGCTCGGTTATATCTTAGAAGTTGACTTAGAATATCCAACGGAACTACACGACTACCATTCGGAATGCCGACTGGCACCTGAAATTATGAATGTAAAATCTGACATGCTTTCTGAGTCCACAAAATCTATTCTGGTAAAGCACCGAAGGATGAAAAGGCCAACAAACTCATATTAAACCTTCAAGACAAATAAAATATGCAGTTCATATGAAAACTTTACAGTCTTACCCAAAAATGGACTAAAGGTTTAACGAACTGTCAGAAGAATGCAATTCCAACAACGAGCGTGGATAAGACCGTGGATTGATTTTATATAACACGGTTCAAAAGAAAGGAAGCGAAGAGTGATTTTCAGAAAGAACTCTACAAACTCATGTATAATAGTGATAATGAAGAAGGATATGAAAAGTGTGTGAATATCCCAACATTCAAAAACAGATTCAGAATAAATGAAAATCTTGTAGGGGTGGAGAAGACTAAAGCGAAACGGGAGTTGGATAAACCAGTTTTCTTAGCAATGACTTTTTTGGCTTAAGTAAATTACACATGCATCAGATCTACTACGATGTTCTTAAGAATAAATAGAATGAACACATTAAACTAGTAGATACTGGTACTGATTGTTATGTAATACAAACTTTCACCGATGACGTACACAAGGACTTCAAAGAGTTAGACCAATAAATGGGCTTTAGCGAATATCCTGCTGAACACCGTTGCCATGACAAAACAAACACGAAAGTCTTTTGCAAGTTTCAACATTAATTAAGCGGAAAAGTAGTAGCGTCATTCATGGGACTAAGACCCAAATCATACGCTTTTATCGTTCATGGAGAGCAGGAAGATCACGGGAAATCAAAAGGTGTAGTAAAGCATAAAGTCAAGAAGGAGTTGAACTAAAAATCAGACGAAGAAACATTAGCTGAACAAAGCCTGACATTACTTTCAATTACATACGAAGTAGTAGCCATCAAATCTTCTCATAAACACAAGCAAAGTCCGCATTGAGTAATTATTCCAGTAAAAGGTTTTACCAAGATGCTTACACATCACTACCTTACGGGCACTACACACTCAAACACCCCTAAAGAAACGATAAATAATGTTATTAATGGATACTACTAGGTATAAGAACGGTTCGATATACAAAATCACTGACATAGGTTATAACAAATAATATATCGGAAGCACCTGCGAGAGTTTAAGTCAGAGAATGACAAGACACAAGAGCAATTACAAGCTACATCAAACTCAATAGTATGGAAGGATGGCATCATTTGAACTGTTCGATGAATTCGGTTTGGAAATTTGAAAAATTCAATTTCCTGAAAGTTACCCGTGCAATGGTAAAGAAGAATTACAAAGACAAGCAGGACACCATTTAAGCAGAACTGACTGTGTGAATAAGCGAGTCACGGGAAGACCAGCAATAGAATACCGACAACAAACAGAAGTTAAAGAACATAGGAAGCAGTATAACAAAGAATATAGAGCACTCAACCGTGACAAACTACATGAGTATGATAAAGCGAAATATGAAAGGAATAAGGAAGAAATAGGCAAGAAGGTAGAATGTAATGTGTGCCATCAACTAAAATGTCAGTCAAATAAAACAAATGTCAATGCAGAAAATGAAAATATTAACATCTATCGTTAGAGTTGAAAAACGCCGATACTATTTGTGATATTCTTGAATGGGACTATACTCAGTTTGAGAGAAACCACCTTCAAGTAATCTGGGCATCCCCTCCATGCACTGAATACAGCAGGGCAAAAACAACGGGTGTCCGCAAGTTTGAGTATGCTAGTAGTATTGTTTTAAAAACTTTGGAGGCAATAAAGTATTGTAATTGTCAATGCTGGATAATAGAAAACACCGAAACTGGACTTTTGAAGGAAAAACCGTTTGTGAGTGGGTTGAAATACTCTGGTGTGGATTATTTGTAAATATGGGTTTAATTACAGGACACGGACTAGGCTTTGGACTAACATAATTACATGGAAACCTGGACCATGATGTAAAAGGGATTGTGGCAAGGTTAGGAAAGGGAAGCTTATGGAAACCCATCAACGCTTCCCACCAAAAACTAAGGCGGAATGGGGTGATAATCCTATCGTTCATACACAAGAAGACCAATACAAAATCCTAGCTGACTTGATAAGAAAATATTTGTTGGTCTCGTTCCCTAAACCCTTCTCCCTGCTTTAGGGAGTTCAGATTCCCTACCGTGGGGAGTTCAGAGCCCCTACCTTGGAGTTGGAAAGCTCAGAACCCCTACCGTGGGGAGTTTAGAGTGGTCTTTTGTGGGTGTTGGTGAGCCACATTAAACTGTTTTTACCCGTCAAGCTCCTTGTGTCCGTTCACAACCGAGGCTACTGAATGACACAGCCAGTGTTAATGAAACTGAATATGAAACAAATCGAAGAACTGTTTATGCAAATTAGTTAGTTGAAATATGATTAAACATGATCACCTTTTAGAACCTTTCAGTATACTACAATTATAACCCTGACACAAATTTTCAATGACTAAACCATACCAAAAACCACATAAACACAGATTTACATAAAACATAATATGGTTGTAAAAAAGTAATGCTGAATGAATGAATGACTGAAGCGAAACTGAAAAATTAATATGGTGAATTCTTTAAATGCAATCGATGTGTTTATGGGAAAACTATTGATGGCTTCCGTTGTGTAAAAAGTGGTTTGTTGTGAGTGTAGACGAAAAGTAAATTTCATAGGTAAAATCAACGCCCAGACCCTGACCCCAAACCAAAAACCACGGGGATTGGAGGAAGGTACAACACCACCTCTCATTTTCAAAGCGCACGAAGCAATTGAAGCGACACAGAGGTCTTACGAGGCGTTGGCCGCTGACTTCTACAATGTGTGTACAACAACTTCTGAAAATACTATGTTTACTGTAAAGTGTTGCAAAGTTTTGAAAAATGAAAAAGTAAGTGGACTGCTTGAAAACCCTACTGAAAACAACACAAACAAATAGTCTTTTGAACAACTGACTGCTCCAATGTATGCGGTAAATAATGCTTGTAGTCGTATAGGTTTAAAAAACAGGTTTTCAAAACAACTGTCAAAATATTTCATCAAGGCAAGTTTTTTGAACAAGGTAAAGGGGGAGAATAGAAAAATAAAAAATGAAATGTTTATGCTGCTTCAAAACGATTCTTTGACCCCTACTAAAACCACAATAAAAATGAGTAAGGTGGGATGGAGGGTTGAAAAAACACAAAAAGTGATTAAGGTAACCGGACCAGTTTTGTATTCATTTTTTGGCCCTCCCCCCACGACCATCACAACCAGTTGTAATTGAGGCCCCAACGCCTAACTCAAGCCTTTCGGCCGTTCTCAGCAAGCTGAGGTAAGAGAAAACTTCAGCCTAGCTCCAAGGAGCTAGCTTTCGTGAAAATGTGACCAAGTCATTTTTGAAGTTTGCAGCACACGCGGCTCCGCTACCATCTGAAAATACAAAGATCGATACCGAGGTATATCTGCAAAGTCAACTCACAAGAAACTATCACAAATCTCTTCAAGATATCAACGTGATATACGCTTCAAGTTGTTGATTCACAAATGATCTGAATCTCTTGCTGCCTGCGCTTCAAGGTCTGTACGCAAGGATTCCTGCAGGCGAACGCACTCACGATTGCGCAAAGGTGGCTCAATGTGGAGGGTTCCTCACATCCAAGGGCCTATCAAATGACCTAAAGTCTCGAAATGGTGGGTCCTTGCGCCAAACATGCAATCGGAGCGAAAATGTTCTCACGCAAGCAACAAAACCACAAATGGCCACTTGCCACTCAACTGTCTGTACATGGGTGTAGACTTTCCACACATAGCACATCTCTCTCATCAATTTCCGCAAATTCTTGCCATTTGTCCAGACAAACCAAGCCTGTTGACACGACGCGCGCAGGCCGTTTGAGCTGGGTTATGGAAACTATCATTGGGGGTAACTTGCGCCAAATCAAATCCCGTTTCCCCGAACAAATCTGTGTGGGCCTTTGTTGGTCACGGTCAACCCTAAATCTGTTCCACCTTTTTGTTGGATTATGTGTGATTGAAGCGCCCTTGCATCTATACCGGTTCCACAATCTTGGTCCCGTTGCCCGCTTACGAGGAATCCACACGGCGTCCCCGTCGTGGTGCGCTTCTAGCCGCAGCTCCGATCCTTCCACTGGGGCCGTGAAGCACAGCACCCCCTGAGCCGAGATCCGACTCTGCTGGATACAATGAAAGTACTCTCTGCCTCCCAAAATGAAAGGACTAACACAATGCTTGTTCTGGCTTGGAAATCTCCGGACACAGCTAGGTTCCAACCCTTCGACCGCCCAGCAACACCCCACGCCACCATCCCTACTCAGGAGAAATACTTTCGAGACACGAAGAGAGGCGTTTGATAGCGCGTTCGATCACATTTTAGAAGGTCATACCGACCCCGACCTAGAAACATTTCTGTCGTGGCCATTGGCTACTTTTCACGGCCAAATGGTTGCAGCGCTGCGCTTTTACGCTTTCATGTCTTTCGTCCACTTCGCACTTTTCATGGCTTGCCCACGCATTGTCACGGCCACTTGGCCTTTGTCGGCTTTTCTTCTCAGGGCCAAAACGTTTCTCGTTTCCAAACGCCTGTTCCACCCAAAATTCGGTCAAACTCACCTCGATCTCTGCAAACAACTTCAATCCCTGAAGCCACTGATTTCCTTACAAGTCTGTTGCATGCGTGCTCCGGCAACAAGTTGCCGAGAGCACGCAGGTGCCCGAAACACACACCACGCATTTTCCCACGCTGCAAGCAAGCTCAAATTCCAACTCTGAAGCTTGTCGGAGGCTGCTCTCTGCAGCTCAAGCGCTTGCAGCGGAAGCCCCCTTCACACGCTCCAGTCGTGCCGTTGCGACGACGGCCTTCGCTTCCAGCTCCTCAGTGATTCTAACGAGATGGGCTGGCGTGCTTCGGCTGCCCCAGCCACTGGCGGGAGCCTCAAGCTTTGGGCTGCCCTGCCAGTCCTTGGTGGGAGCCGTACTTCGTCGGCCCGTCTCTTTGTCAACCTCTGTGCGTTCACTTGTCACATCCATCTGTCACAGGCTCTGTTGCACCGGCAGGTTCTGGGCGCCTCGGCTTTGTGTCTGTCAGATCGGTCCGGCACACATTTCTGTCACAGGCTGTCGATGCACGGGCGCGCAAATGGCGCATCGCCACAAAGCAGTACCCCAACGCCAAACCAACTACCCACAACCAACACCAGGCCAGTATGAACTACGAAGCCACCCAGTACAAATGACCATGAAGCCATTACTAAGGCACCACAAAGCAACGATAAACCAATACTAGCCAAGACTAAGCCACTACTAAAGCAGCACAAAGCAGCGCTCAACCAAAACGAACCAAACCTAAGCCAGCATGAAACTTGGGCCTTGAATTTATTTACCCGTTTTCTTCCCCAAAATTTTGTTGTTTGGGGGTGGCTTTGCAAACCAGTGACCCACGCTGGGCCACATCCGTTGAGCACACCACTCGAACCAGCGCAGTCACAAAGTGGTGCGCTGTTCAGCGCTTTCCTCGCGTTGCTCCTTTTGGGCGTGCTACGCTTGCCTCGTTTTGCAGGTCAACAGGACAAGGACGGCGTCGTAACAAAAGCGGCACAGATTGCCCAGGCCTGCCATTCTGCCATATGGATTCGGACATCCGCCCCTTCCTGCCTGCCCTCGCGGCTCCGCCCCTGGAGCCGTGACAAGGTGCACCTCACCGAACAGCTCCGCGTCAAACCACGGCCTTGGCTTTGCAGTGAAGGGGTGGCGCAAAGGGAGCTGGGTCCCATACACAGAGACAGCCCTTGGGCGCGTTTGTGTTGAGATGTTGCTTGGATGCGAGGCTGCTGGACAACGGGCTCTGAAGAGAAGGCATGGTGCACATGGAGCTGAGTTTCCCCATAAGTTTTCCTCTGCGCCTCGCCAACATTCCCCTGCAGCGCTCAAAGAGACAACGGTTTGACTGCGCGTACGCGATCCCACGAGTCGTCACTGCTGCCTTTGCTTGTTACACAAGCTGGTCAGCGGGACCTACCAGGACAGCACACTGCCAAAGGTGTTTTTACACCGCCAACAAAGGCAGCTACTTCGCGCGGACGGCCCTGCTAACTTGCTCAGCGAACCGGCCTCAAGCCTCGTTCTAAAAGGTTTCTATGCAACGGTTGGCGCCGCGCAGGGAACTGAAGGGAAATGGACGAAGGGAAGCTGAAGGGACTCAAGGAACATGAGCAGATGAAAGGAAGTGAAATGAGATGAAGGAAATCAAGCAATTGACGTGCAATGAAGGAAAATGAAAGGAAACCAAAACCACTACATGAGTCAGCCACGGAAACCAGACTCCAAAACTTGAAGAGGCTCCGCTCCGACTTTTGGAGCCGTTCCTGAATTTGAGCCACATCAGTGGCCAAGGCAGTGCCTATTGCCTCTGCGGTCATCCTGGGCGAACCGGTGATTGGCGGCGGCGTGGTCAGGGGCCGGGGTTGCGGGGCAAGAAAATGCAACAGGGATGGAACCACCATCATTCTAGACGACTTGTCAAGTCCCCCACTGCGATGCCAAGCAGACAGGCAACTCGTGTCCATAGACGACTGGCGCAGGCGCAAAGTTTGATTGCAGGTATAAGGCCCCTGGCATTGGTAACAAAGGGGCCACTTAGAACAAGCAGCGCGATGCCATGCGCCTTGCCCGGCTGCAACGGTACCTTCAGCTGCCGACGCCGGCCCAGCGGCGGGTGGCTGAAGTCGAAGTGGAATAGAATACCTGAACAAAGCCAGTGATGCTCAGAAGGAGGATCGGTTCCGTCGAACGGAGGCTTTTCCTTTGATGTGTCCATTGGTTTGCTTTTAGCCGCTCACCCCAACGTCAAGGAGGGTGGTGGGTACCCCGAAAACCAAACACAAACACACGCGCAAGCACATGCGCGCGCACGCGGAAACGCAGACGCGCAGGCACGCGCAAGCCCGCAGGCACGCGCACAAATCACCCACACGCGCACGCACACACGCCGAAACCAAGCAACACCAAAACACAACAATGCAAAACAATACAGCGGGACCTAAAACGCATATGCGCATGTACACGCGCACACACACACACACAGCGCACATGCGCACGCGCACACTGCGCACTGCGCACACACACACACAAACAAGCTCGCACACAAAGCACACGCACATGCGCACGCGCGCGCAAGCAAACGCACGCCGAAAACACATCTGACTATCGGGTTGCAAAACACCTCGTTTGTCCCGTTCAGACCGGTGTCACCTATGCCCTTGTTGACAGGGGTCCAGAAACAGGGTTCACCATTTCGTGAAACCAGTAAGGATTGGTGACACACGCTGGCTCCGCTTGAAACCGCGCATAAGACGGCGCCTAGCCCTAGTCTCAGTGACTAGGTTAGGAGTTGGGGCGTCTACTGGCTCTTGGCCGCGTCGTCGAGCTCCTGCGTTTTGAAAACCGCTGCGCGAACCATTGGTGTGTGTGTTTTTTGCAAGTTCCATTAAGCCGCTAACATTTTAGGAAACTCGCAGAATGTTTATGTTTGATTGCTTCTGTATTTCATATTTTTTTTAGGAGAAAATACGCCGAACCTTTTCTATCGGACCAACTCTACCATTTCATCTGGCATGGGAAGGAATGACAACCTTGATCCTTGACTTCACACGGCCCAGCGCACGGCCAAGAAACTCAGTTCTGGGAGCATTGTGTATTGATCTCCGTCCAGAAGATTTGCTTCCAAAAGACATCGAGAGAACTCACCTGTAAATCCAAGCAGGGCCAACACTACTTAAGTGAAGTGCCTCGCCAACCATATCCCAGAACACAACACATGTCTGACAAACCTCATGCGCGCCTGCTTCCCTGCTTGCCTCCCAAATCCAGTCAGTCTTGCCTCAGAGGTCTCCGAAGTGAACGTTAGCAGACCTCCGACACGGCGCAACTCCCTCAATCCCCTCCATCCCATACGTATGCCCCTGATGACAAACAAGCGCATCTTCCCGAATCGTCTATGAAGTCACCCATCACACCGCCTTTTCAGATTGCGCTGACTCTCCAGCGAGGCAAGCACGCCCAACACATCATCCTTTTCCTGCCAGGTTTGAAATTTACAGAGGTTTGCGCCAGGAAGCACTGCCTCGATAATGAGAAAAGGAAGGCATGCCAAAAACAGAAGCTATGCCAGGATCCTCCATGTCACATAGCTACAGTACTGCAGCACTGGTCTAAAACTTAGTTTGGGCTCGGCTCAGCCACTGTTCCACGACACCAAAGCCCATGGTCGGCGCACAAAGGGAGCGCTGTAAGTGCTTAGAGGCTGCGATCAGGAACACGGCCCGTAAGGTTCCACCTGAATGACATCTGATGGAACGCAGCGAGTTTGCATCACGCTCCCAGCCAACTGCCCAATAGACCTATTTCTTCCCGCAGGATCTGAAACACAATGCTCCGTGGCCTGTCTATCCGCTTCTTGCCTTTGGCGACAGCAGCTCGATTGACTGTTGGTTGTCATAACTCTGCAGCAGCCTCCACGACTTGTGTAGCGCGTGTAGCAGATTAGCGTACCAACAGGACGAACAATTGACATGTCATTTCAACTTGATTCCCGACCAGGGAGATCATAGCGGGAGCAAGACATGATCTGCGAAGTCTTTGCAACTTGCGGCCCTAGCCTCGCCGAACGAAGCAAGGGTCATCATCATCTTTCGGAATGGGTTCCAGGGTGAATTGTTTTGATCCACCGTAACATCTGAAGAAAAGGTGAGCGCTGCATATCCCCCCTGTTTTTCCTGGCTGGATGCATTTTGCCAGGGAAACGTAACACGCCTAACGAACTCAATGCGCACAGTTTCAGGGCATCTGCGAAGCTCCCCAAGAGCCATCGAGCTGCCCGTGTCACTGGCCCGGCTATACCCAACCCTTCGAGCTTCAAGCCCCGCACCCAGCGTGTGAACTGTCATGTCTTCACACCAGCCCATCAAGTGAAACCTCATAGCTTTACAACGCTCAGTCATGCTCCACCTTCTGCACATCCGTGGGAAATCCCTCTCGCTGCTGCGCCACGATCCCTGGCGCTCGGAGCCGGCCAAAACCTCTTCCAAGCACAAGAGCAATAACAAGGCCGATCCGTCCGCCAGGAAGCGAAGAAGGCGCACCCCAACTTGCCGCAAAACTTGCCAACATTTGATATTGTAGAATGTCCCCTGGACAAAAGCAGTCGCGGGAATTCGTGACGAGGCACAAACACCATAAATGTGTGTGTGTCTGCTATCCCCGCCCCGTTAAGAGGTACATTTTCTTCGGGAGACGTGCCAAAATGTAAGATTACATTTTGGATGCTGATGGACCTATCAGCAAGGTACCTCGCACATAACCAAGTTACACTTTCATGAACTTGCCCCCATCCTCAATGCCTTCAAAAGCCTCTGCGCACGCGCCACATCTGCCCCACCCAACTTGCATTTTGCAACACCTCCGCCCCCGTTCCCACCCCATCAAGCTTCCCAGGGCAATCCTTGAACATGTCCGCCAACTGTTGTTGTTGGGGGGAAGGGAGGGTGAGACCAAGTAAGTTTCGACGTGCCCAAATGTCCCGGCGGGGGGGGGGGGGGGAAATTTGCTAAATTCATGTTCAAACGTCCCCCCTTTTTTTGGGCCCTAAAGGGGTGGACATTATCCATGAAATCGTTCGAGGCATTGTTGGAGATTTCTCGGTTCCAATAGCCAAAAATTGAATATGGAATTTGAAATTTGAAATCGAATTGCTTGGGGAGCCGTGGGATATCCAGTAACTGTAGGGCGCACACTTAGTAAACGCGCGCATTTGCTGATAGGGGGAGGGCAGCGCAGTTTGACCAGAAAAGGCCCATGAAACTGACATCTGCCGGTGCAAAAGGGCAAAACTCAATCCGCGCCGAGGAACCACCACCAGCGGGCACAATCAAGTCGGGAAAGCAACATGTCATTGCTGCGAACGGCGTAGTGCAAGTTAAAAGCGCGGCCGTGGGTGGGGTGAAGGATAGAAAAACAGCAAAAGAAGCGCAAGGCAAGCGAAAGCAATCACGCAAGCACACACACACACACACACTTCAACTTATCTGCGTGAATCCACATACATCGGCACAGCAAGATGCCCCGTGTCCGTGGAAACTTCTTCGCACTCCAAGTCTCGCAGGCGCCTGGCCACAGGAAGTAGCCCCTGGGGTGCATCGTGTGGTCTTTGCTGCCTGGTTGGGGCGGTCTCAGTCCTGAAGCCAGCTTCGGGTCCACGCCAAGGAGCGAAAACATCCCGGGGACAAGTTCGCATGTAGAAGAGAGAGAGTGTTTGCCAACGAATAAGCAAACAGCAAAACCTTAAAACATAAACCTACATATGTGTGAGGGTGTGTGTGCCTGTCTGTCTCTCCGTCTGTCTGCCGGTCTGCGTGCCTGCCTGTCTGTCTCTCTTTGTCTGTCTGCCTGTATGTATGTAAGTGAATAAGTATGTGTATCTGCGCATGTGTGTATGTGAGTGTCTATGTGTGTAACTTGTATGTGTGTGTGTATGCATGCACGCACGGGTCTAAGTATCTATGCGCCTATGTATATTTACATACGTATATATATTTATACGCGCAGCCCGCCATGATCTACATTTGTTGTGTCATCCCTGCTTGTGTTCTATCACATCTGCCAATCCAAAATAACTGCCCCATCTGCAAGTCCTTGACAGTCATGTGTCGAAATAGGTCCTGTGCCACCTGCGGGCTTGATCCAGATTAAACCCCTTCCAATTACATCCTGCTGGAACTATTTGATACTTGAAAAGGCCCCCATGCAAAAACAGAAAAGTCACCTCGTTATTTCTTCCGATGTTCATCGATTTTCTGTTCATCGATTTTCTGTTCAAGTTCTAACTAAAAAGTCGTTTTAATGAGGCAAACTCAAGTCAACCCCGTTCTGTGTTATTTCTGACCTTATCATAGGTTGAATCGAAAACCTTTTGGAAATGGATCCTGAGCAAATTTTCCCATATTGAACTCTATTGAAACAAAATGTTAACATGGAAATCATGGTTGGAAAGGGGTTTCTTTTTTTATCCCACTCGAACAGGAATTCCACAAACTGTTTGTTTCATTAACTTGTGTTCAACTATTTTGCAATCGGAGTCCTATTGGCAAAAGGATCGTCTAATGAGACTCATTAGAGCCCCTATCAACAAAAACCTTGTAAGGCTTCTTTTTAGGTTTAGGACTAGCCTTACGAGGGGCCCGGAGCTGCGCAGGAAGAAGCCTTACAAGAAGCTTTACAATGCCTGGCAAGAAGCGTTCAGGAGCTTTACAAGGAACCTTGTAATGAGCTTTATCAGGAGCCTTATGAGGCTCGAATCAAGAGTTTAAAGCCTCTTCAAATCGAAATGCAAATGCAATTCCGCCCTTCTTGAACTCTATTTGCAATTGAGGTCACTGACTGCGCTGATAAACGCGTTCAGCAAAGATGTCCTTTCATGGCAGCATTGCCTGTCCAAACCTGCGTTATAATGATGCTGTAGCGCAGTGGAACAGAATGAAGGATGCCTTTCAGCGCTTTCGATGAGCCGCAATGTCATACAATGGGGAGACATATGATCCAAAAACTCAAAAACAAAAATACTCGCAAAAACAAGGAAAACCAAACAATCTCTGACTTGAAAACCCAAAAGCTGAGGGAGTTAAAGAACACAACATGTTAGACTGAAACCAAACATTCTCCCTCAGAGATGCGTGCTAAACTTTTTGGCCTTCGAGTTTTTTGGTTCTGGGTTTCCCTCAGCTTGTTTGGCTTTATGTGTTTAAAGCTTGCGTGTATAAAAAACGCCGTCCAGTTCAAAGTGGAACGCGCCAGAAACCCGACTTCGGTCAAGAGTTTTTACGCACGCTCGTGAATCTGCAACTTAAATATAGGTACACTACTCAAACAAGAAACTGCGACACCAGGCAGCCTAGCATTGTGTATTTTTAACACACGCGGAATATTTGAAAAGACTTCAAGAAGAGGTAGGTCATGGGGGGATAACGATATAGCTATTTATAGATATGTGTATAAATATGTCTATGAGCTTGTGTACCCACGCATCTATGTGTGAATGTGTGTGCTCGCATGTACGCATGGATCTAAGTATCTTTGTATCTGCGCGTAGCTGAAAGCACGGCTATGTCACTATGCGACGACGTTTGTAAGTGTGCAGGCGTGTGTGTACGTATGTGTGTGTAAGTTGAAAGTATGTGGGTATGTCCGTCTGTAGGTACGCATGTACGTATGTGTCGGGAGGACGAACAACTTTTCTTGTGTCCTGTAAGTGATGATCAGGATACAGAAGTCCTCTCCTACGTTGGTAGGAACAACACAACTGATTGTAATGCCAGCCGGTATTGAACCAGGAACTGCTCGTTTGCTCAGTTGGGCCTGCAGTTGAAAGCGAATCGTACGGAACGGCTGTGCCAAGAAACAGCTTGAAAGCCGAAGGGCCACCCTCAAGCCATGACCGTAGATAGGGTACAGTCAGAGGTTCATCATCGGGCCGCACCATCGCAGCATTTGGTCACCCAGCATTCTCGTGTCATGCGTCTGATGCTATGCTATTTTCCATTGACTCACTGAAGCCCCCAAGGTTGGGATTCGAAGTCAAGCAATTCAATCCCATCCACTGACGTGAGACATAGCAGCCCTGTACGCATTCTGAAACTCACTGGCTGAGTGGATGGCCCAAAAAGAGTCCAAACTCTACATTTACCACTAAAACCTGGAGCTACCTTTGGGCCCTTTTTTTCCGTACCACTTTTTTCCGCCCGGTTTCTTGAGAAACGCTTGCCTTTTTATCCAATGAAATTTCTGCTCGTTTTTTCCATTAAAAATCGAAGTGCTCGTTTATTTTGGGAAAGTACATGCAAGTGGCTCAACCATCGACACCACGTACGTTTGGTGTCCAAAACAGTGCTATAGGTGCTAACCATGACCCTAGGCAGTCCACTCAAACAGGGAACTGCCTTTCGGTTCCCACGTCCCGGGCGCAGCATTTTTTCACTTCTTCCAGAGCCGTTGCTTTCGCCACTGTCGGCGGTAGTGCAACAGAGTCCGCTGAGTTGTTGTCAAAGCTGTGCTCAGCGCATGTGTCCTCCTGCTGGTGCGGGAAACCTGCAGCGCCAACATTATATGAGATAGATATACACCCATGCATCGATTGCTCTTTGCAGGTTTGAACCATGCACGCGTGAAAAGCAGCCAAGAAACCCGGCCAATGAAATCTTCATCTTGCCATGTTGCATAACCTGAACAAGGTAGCAGGCAACAAAACAGCTATCAAGAATTTCTCACACAAACTGAGGCATGGTCTTCGTGGAGAAAGCACCCATGTGCCACTAGATGGAATTTGGTCACTCATCCACAGCGTGACGCACGCGTGATAGGGAATTACTTTTTTGTTGTTTCAAACAAAGCCCAACACTTTAAAATGAGTAAGGCCTTTGCAATCCGAGGCTGGCGCTGGATTTCTTGTTGCATGTGAAGCTTTGGAAGCACTGGGAACAAAGCCCAGTTTTTAGCTGCTGCGTACGCAGATAGGGCACCGTAACCCTCCTGAGCTCTTCATTGCGCGCACACACACGCACGTGCGCACACAGCACACACAGCCAACTGAATCGCCCCGGGCCACCTATATGAAGGCCAAGGTACTGTCATGTTCTGGCTTGCCTGCACACATGTCGCTGCCTCAGCCTTGGAGAGCCACATCGCAGAGTTGATACCTCGGAAATACGTGCTGATCGATTCCAGCGTGAAGCGCAGAACGTTGGCAGGCGCTTCCTGAGGCGCGGGAAAGTGGCATGCGCGTGACATTCATACATGAGTGGCATTCCTGAGTGGCAGACATGGGCGGCATGCATGAGTGGCATTCATGGTGGCATGCATGACATGCATGTGTGAGTGGCATGCGTGTGTGAGTGGCATGCATGAGTGGCCTGCATGACTGGCATGCATGAGTGGCATGCATGAGAGTGGCATGCATGAGTGGCATGCATGAGTGGCATGCATGAGAGCGGCATGCATGTGTGAGTGGCATGCATGAGAGTGGCATGCATGAGTGGCATGCATGAGTGGCATGCATGAGTGGCATGCGTGAGCGGCATGCATGAGAGTGGCATGCATGAGTGGCATTCATGAGTGGCACGCGTGAGTGTGCGCTCATGTCATGCGTGGGTGGTGTGTCTGGATTCGTTTGGATGTGTGAAGCATGCATGCACACATGCAGACTCATGCATTCTATTTTTGAACTCCACACCGCAGGTGCATCATTCTGAGCAGGCGGCGTGATTAGCAAAAGGAGGCCGGGATTGCACAAGCCAGGAGCCAGTCGCTCAAGACAGTGTTGTCAAACGCTTTGCCACCCCCGGCAGGGAACACTTGCAACCTGACACTAGGGCGCGGGTTGACGTTCCCATGGAACATAATGCATCAGCACACAACTCACTGACCAAAATCATGGACGTGAATCAATAACACACACACACACACACGCAGTCCACATCAACTTGCATTCTGTGCAGCAACGAAGCGAGCTGGCCTTGAATGTCCTTTTCAAGTCAAACTCCGCGAGGGACGTGTGGATTTTGTTGGTGCTCCTCCAGTCATCAAAATGCGCATGCGCCCTGTGCAGACGGTCAGGTATATTGTCGCCGCCAAAGTAATTGAACCGGCAGCTCAGCAGTACCTTGAACGGAATGACATGCGCAACAACCATATGCCTCATGCTTGCAAAATAACAAGGCTCAACCCCCTAAAATGGCCCTCAATACTATTCAACGGTCTTGTTTGCTCAACCCAGTTTGTAAGGTTTTAAAACGGCTCTACACAATGGGTGTATCAAACCTGTGGCGTGTCCCCCTCTTCTCTATTAATGACAAACAAACAGCTGAAAAAAACAACAGGAAACAACCGTGTGCTAACATTTAGCTTCAAGACGATGGCGCTCGTCACAAATCTTTTGCCCACCCCCAAATGCCATGTGTGCATTTGGTCTGGCGGGCTTTGTTGCGCATGTGCCCCAGGCAGGAAGAATAGGGAAGGGCGCCAGCGCTTGTAGGGATCTGGGCCAGGCCGAGTGCTTCGCCAGGAAGCTCCACAGCTCGTATCCCACCACGCTTGCGGACAACAACTGAATTTAATAACAAGTAGCTTGAGCACGAGCAGACTGGCCTCCCCACTGCAGAACTGACAAAGCCTTTTGGATGAAAAT